ACTGAGGGTTGCGATCCGTTGCCGGACACGGAAAAAGACAAAAAAAAAAAGAAAAAGAAAACCAACCCCAGTAGCAGGGGCAAGAGATGACTCGAGAGTCAACAAGCTGACATGAAATAACCCCAACAGGCTAAACCTGAAGAACAAACCTGGCAGCCAGAGAAAGAACTCAACTGGTACTTTCCCCCACCAGCACTCTAGTGGTGGCCCTCAGAAAACATGTTGACTGGGAAGTCATGAGCCCCAGAAAGGACAAGAAACATGAATGAGGTAGGCAGAACTGACTTTGGCCTCCTGAGAAGTCTTTAAGTCTTTCTCCGGAGTAGAAGCCACCCTAAGCCATTATCAAGCTCTGGGGACATCAACTACAAGTCACAAAGGCCAGACTGTTTCTTCTCCGCCAAAGAAAACATGCAAACATTTCCTTTGGTGATGTGGGACTGCACACATGCACACCCACATATTCACAGACACACACCTGTGGTTTTAGGAGGCTCCGGAGGTCCACCCTGCCAGCCGTACTGTGGGTATCCTTGGTAGGGGTACCCCTGAGGAGGTGGGTAGGGCCCTCCCATAGGTCCTGGACCCACTGGTGGTTGTGGATAAGGTGGGTATGGGGCCGTTGGACCAGGGCCCGGATACGGAGGAGGGTTTTCTTGGTTCATCAGGGACCTGCAAAGTGCACCTAAGAGACAAAAAGAATGAAAATTATTTGCATTTAAGCTGCGGAAGTCATTAGGAAAAAAAATTCCAACCCATGAGGTCATTTACAAAATGCCTTAAAGGTATCTCGAGCCTCTTGCAAATCTCTAGCTCTGCCCATTTTGTTTCCCTCTCACCATCACCACAATTGGCAATTATCTTATGTATTTATTTGCCTTTTTTCTGTCACCTCCACTAGATCGTAGGCTGTGATAGCAGGGATCAAGTCAGTTTGGGATCACCATCATGTCCCTATAGCCTCACACAGTGCCTGGCACAAGGCAGGCCCTAAATAAATGTGTTGATAACAAGATATTTTGTTTTTTAAATTCTCTGAAATGTCCCCAAATGTGATTGGACAGCTTTAAGAAGGCAGAAAGTCTAACAGCACTAACTATGAGTCAGATCAGTGGAAGCTCACCCACTACTAGAAACCCTCCAATACACAGGGCTGGGCCACAGTGGGATATTCTTGTGAGCAGCATAGTCAGCAGTGACCAACCAAAGGTTATAACCACTGCGACTGCCTTGGGCATTGGGATGATCTGGTTGCTCTTCTCAGACCTACTGCTCTGAGCAGCTGAGCAGAGAATAGAGAATGCTGAGTATCTCCTCTGACCATCCAGGCTCCCAGGACTCTGGAGGGCTCACCAGGAATCCTCACTCGTGTTTACAGGTTCCTGTCCTCAGTGGTTTGCTTCTATGAGGGAGGCCATGCTTCCCAGCCCCCAAGCCTGTTAACCATTCTTCTGATACAGCTTGAAGCTTTAAGAGCATGCATCTTGTTTCCATAAACTCTGTAACCTCCACAGTGCCTGGCACAGTGACTTCCCAATTAAAAGCAAACAAACCATTACTGGGGAATGCAAAGCATATATTCTATGGATGACTCAAACAACATATCTGTCTTACTGCTGCCTGGTACTATTACCCATTTCCAATATTGATATTTAACTTTTTACCTATTTGAGTGTCTTCTCTCCCCAACTAAATAGCAGAGTCTCATATTCAAAATTTAATAATTACACTATTAATTCTTTTTCATAATATGCAATGAATAAATTAATAAGTGACTTTATACAGAGGACAGAATAGTCATAAAATAATATTCCCTAGAAAATCTGAAGTGAAGTAATAGTGGACTTTGCAGTTGCCCACACAACATCCATATTCTCCCTTCCTAATAGTAGTCAGATTTAGAGAGGTGTCCATCCATTCTTCCTATAGCTCATGTGATCCCAGGAAAGCTCATCCCATCCCAGCTCCAGGGTGAGCCCAGTTTGTCTAAGACAATACAGGTTACCCTCTCCCCTTTCTCATCACAATTGATGCAAGGAATCTAGGACTAAGCCAATTGCAAATGGCATCCCCTGGTGACTGGGACTGGTTCTGAAGTGGTTCAATCAGTAAAAAGCTAGGGATCTCCTAATACACTCCCACCCAACCTTCTCTTTCCCTTAACACAGGCACACACAAAGTCTAGGAAAGACATAGCCTATAAAACTGCTGATAGCTAATCTGCTGCCCTGACAAAGAGCCACCCTTAAGATGAAGTGGGTATTTTAGAAAGGCAGAGCAGAGGGCCGGCCCGGTGGCGCACTGCTACAGTGCGCCGCTTGGGAGCGTGGCGGCGCTCCCGCCGAGGGTTCGGATCCCACATACAGACCGGCCGCTCACTGGCTGCTGAGCAAGGGGTGGGCGCGACACCGAGGGTTGCGATCCCGTTGCCGGTCCCGGTCCGGTACGGGCGCGACACTGAGGGTTGCAATCCGTTGCCGGTCACGAAAAAAGACAAAAAGGAAAGAAAAAGAAAGGCAGAGCAGAAAGAAGAAAAGAAATGGTATTCCAGATGACTTTTTAACAGCTCATAACTCAAAGACTGAAGCTCAGCCTAACCTAAACTACCTCTATAGAATTTTCAGTCCCGGCAACCAAGCTAACGAACCCTCCTGTGTGACCAAACATACATTTCTGCATTGCTGACTCAGTGCCTGATGCTAGGTGCTAAGTAGTGGGGTATAGAGATCAAAATGGCTCAAACCCTTCCCTTGGGCAATTGGATGAAAAGACAAACATTAAAACAATGATTTTTAGAAGTGGTAAATGGATTGCTGGGTAGGAGTAGGGGCTTAAACCCAGCAGGAGGAGGTGGGGGTGAAGAATGCATCCTTTGAAAGAGGTGATTATAAACTGAAACTTTATAATATGGAATCAGAATGGCTTGAGAGTCTCTTTTCTTGTGTGGGTTTTTTTTTTTTTTTTTTGAGAGTCTCTATTTTTGACCATATCTGCATTCTGTCTCCCATTTTAGAGACTCTCGTTTCTCCAGGGCCTAAAAGGGACTCAGAAAGGAACTAGAGTTCTTTCCCTTCTCTGCTCTCTGGTCTATGCCAACATGGCATGACACCCTGACCTGGGAATAGATTTTCCCCTTACCCCAATGCAAAAGATCATGGTGACTAATACTACAATCATCACATGAATCTGGACCCACGTAAACACATTGTTTCTCTCTACTACCAGGAAGGTTGTGGAAAACCCAGTGAGCCCTGATTAACATACAAGTCAGCCTCATTAACTGTGATATGGCCATTCCATTATGTATTTTTAAATCACAGAGGCTGTAAACACATTGTTTCTCTCTACTACCAGGAAGGTTGTGGAAAACCCAGTGAGCCCTGATTAACACACAAGTCAGCCTCATTAACTGTGATATGGCCATTCCATTATGTATTTTTAAATCACAGAGGCAGAACACAGCCATTTTGTCCTGAAACTACTTTGTCTAACTACTTTGTCCTGAAACTCAGTGTATGTGACCTAATTTCATTAAAACTATAGTTTAACTTGATCAGCCCAACAAGACTAAGTACTGATGATTGTTCTCACTCTAGCAAGATCTGAATCTATATTTCTCTGAAGACATTGTTCTTCTAAGAACAATGAGCAGTGGAAGAGAAAAAAGGAAGAGTATAGAACTATTGTACTACAACCTCAGACCTCAATGTTTCATGACTTTTCTTAATCCATCTGTTTGCATCTATTCCTCATTATCCTGTGCAGTTCTCTCCCTGGGGCCTTCAAAACTCTCTTCCAAGTATATGTGTCCTTTTCCCTTATCCCTCAATCATGTTTCTCCCTCATTTTTGGTATGTACCTTTCTCACTCTGCCTGAGAAATCACCTTATGTCTCGGGGGAAAAAAAAAATCCTATGTGCTATTCACAGAGGCACTTACAAAAAGCATAAACCACAAAGGTGCTCCCACCACCATGATCCCCTCCAACACATACACTCCTTCCCTATATTCCCAAGACAGTCATCTGAGAGAAATAAAGATCTGAATCTATTTTCAGTTTCCTCTAAGCAGGAAAAAATATCCCAGTAAGAGAACAACAAAAGTCACAGAAAGAGCATCTGTGCTGGATCAAAGATCCTAGATCTGGCATTTGAAAAGCAGGACTTCGCCTAGTGGGAATCAATTGTTCCCAAGCTGGTAAAGAAACAAACCAAAGTAAAAAAGATTACCTAACACTGACACAGTCTAGTACAATCCAGTTAACATAAGCAAAGCACAAATGAGCTTTAAACTTAAGGTATAACAGTAAACTTTGTAACATGACAGTTTCTCTTATAAATTTGGTCAGGTAAAATGTAAGCCCTACTACAGTGGAGTGTTACATTAAGGATCAAATATAAACAGTGAAAATGGTAGCACTAAAGACAAATCAGAACTTCAAAAGGGACAGTTCAAATAGTGCAGCAGCCAAGATCCATTAATAAACTATTTAACACTGCTATCCCACCATCCCCATTCAAGACACACTCAAAGTCACAGGATTAGCAGTCATTCAACCATACAATGAGAAAGGCAGAAACTATTCTTTGGGAATGTAGTTCATGGAGATAAGACACTATAAAAGACTCCATCCAAGTAGAGATGCAGAAAGAACACTATTTTTCAAAGTTGTGATTATATTTTAAATTACAAGATACCTGGTAACCAGATGGGTTTTGACTGTGCAGGTGACAGAGTAGAGACTTTTCCTCCAGAAAAACCAAACAGTCCCAATAGAAAAAAATGACAGATACTTATACTTGGGAGGATGCCAAAGAAATGATTCATCCACTCACCCCACAGTAAAGTCCATGCACACAGAACTTCTAATCAACTTTTTATCAATTAGAGCGGACAAAGATTATCAGACATTGGAAGAAAGCTTCCAACGTAAAAGACAGACCAAAACAAAACAGGAAGAAGAAAAAACAACCTAAATGTCCAAGAAAAGAGAGTCAAATAAATTAAGGTACATCTGTATAATAGGTATTTTGCAGTCACTTTAAATTTATGCTTTTGAAGTATGATGTAATATTATATAAGAAACATTTTAAAGCTATATATTCAGCACGATCCCAATTTACTTTAAAATAAATAGATAGATCATTGTGACAAAACGAAGAGTCCTAAAACGGATCCATACAGTACAAATACCTATTTAACAGAAAGGCACCACTGCAATTCAGAAAGGAAAAGGTAGTCTTTCTAATAAATAGCACTGAATTAATTGAATATCCTTGGGGAGAGGGGAGGGAAGGGAAGAACCTGATCTCCACCCTCACACAAAAAAATAATTCACAATATATCACAGACTCATTAATCAAGCTTTTGGAAGAAAGTATATCATATACTCATGACGTTGGCAATATTTACCTTATGACCAAGCAACTCTACTCTTAGATATATCCTGAAGTGAAATGAGTGCATGAGTCTGCCAAAAGACATAAACAAGAATGTTTAAGACAGCTTTATTTATAACAGCCCGAAACTGGAAACTATCCAAATGTTCATCAACAGCAGAACAGATAAATTATAGTATATTTATATAGCACAAAACTACCTAGCAACAATAAATAAAAGAACTAGTACTGCATGCAACAACATGGATGGATCCCACAATGATGAGCAAAAGAAGCCAGACTCAAC